GCCTCGTCATAATTATCTTCGTCGTCTTCCAAAACTGAAAGATCCTCCTGATACAACTTCTTGAATTTATTTATCTGGTCCATGTAGTACGTCGAGAATGGAAATTGGGCGTTATTATTTCTTGCGGGTATCTGATAAAAATCTGGTCTTGGGTCTGGCAAATATTCTATGTTGACAATTTTAGAATCTATGAATGCTCGTTTCCAAAATTCAAATAGTTCATCCGACGATGGATCATTTTTAATGAATAACGGGGAAAGCCCTGACAATCGTTCCAGGACACAAAGCAATTTTGAAATTGGTTTTCGAGATTGATCACGAATGTACATTTGCAACGATAAGGAAAATGAAGAATACAAATACAAGTCCTTTTTATTTGAGGCAACTCGCAAAAGCCAATCTTCTGGAATATTTTTAGCGAGCCACTCGAGAGTTCTGACTTTTAGGCAATCAAGAAACTCCTCACGCTCGGGAATTTTATGGACGAGCAATCTAATCAGATCTCGATAAGAAGATGACATTTATGAAAAACAGTAAGCAACAACTTAAAACCCTACTCACTTTATATAGTCAAGGGATTCGGGAGTCGAGGGAAATTTCATGCAGAGCAGGCACCATAATAATTCTTGAGAGATAATTTCTTTAAATGAATACACGTGCTCAAGGATCTCATTCAAATTATTATCTAGAAAGGTGGTCAATGTTTGCCCTTGAGGAATCAAATTTTCTATGGTTACAAGCTTCCATCCGCACATAAAATTAAAGGACATGGTTGTAGCCTCGTTGTTCCTCATCATGTGAAGAATGATGCAAACATGCTTCACCTTTGAATTTTGATCTGAAATCATGAACTCTTTTCGCAGTTGTTCGATGATGAACTTCGCAAGCTTGATGCATCCAGCACTCACTGCTGTCAAATCACATTGCAATATCAACACCTCCGCATTCGATTCAAACCAAAAATGCTTGATTCTGGCAGTAAGCTGAGCTTCGGATTTAAAAATCGAAATTTTATCAATCTGGCACG